CTGAAGAATTTCCATCCTTAGAAAATTCAGCGCATCTTGCTGGGCTAGAGATTTAACAGCATCAGTCTATTTTATTATGATTTTATATTAAGAGTACTAATTATTTTTCTAATCACTTTTAAGTTTACACGGTTAATTATTGACTCAGTTGTCAATTACATTGAGAAAACGGAGAAGTTCATAAAGTCAACTCAATGGAAAATCGAAAAATGTTTAATAATAATAATTAACAAAAGATATAATAGACTAATAATAGAAAAATACTAAGTAATTCATAATAAAAGTAATAAATAGTCTACATACAACCATCCCTTTATGATAATTACGAATACGATGTATTTTCAGTGCAAAAAACGACATAATTTAAATAACTGATTTGAAGAAAGGTAAGATTAGCTGCATTTACCAGCAGTCCTGGAGATCTAATTTGATTAAAAAGTACCGTGAGTTTTAGATGCACGAGAACGAGAAAAGTGTGTGTGGGTGTGTTGTGGGGGAAAATGTTTTTGACCTTCCTAACATGTGCGAGTAATTGGCATTGGCGAAAGTTATGATTTAAATGATCGTCATAGTCAGTAGAGGTGGGGGTTAAATCCCAGGCCTCCAGGGAATGAAAGTGAAACTCAGAAAATGGTTCAAATAAGATACGTCTTCGGTCTGATTCAGGGAAGCGAGTTTGATCTTTTCGTATTTTCAATATGAAGATCCTCCGGATAATTATGAGTTTACAACGTTGTTGTTAACAAAGGACAAAAATTTCTTATTGTTTGTTCAACGAAAGTCAATAAAAGGTCTCTCCTGCAAAATTGTGTGACACTCTTTTTCCCTAGTACCTTGGAATTATTGTTGAAATTATCATATTTTTTTTATAAAGATCACATGTTTATTACTTATATTTTTACGGGTTAACAGAGGCATTGTGATTGGACAAATCTCCATTCACAGCTGAGACAGGAGTTCAAATTCCTGTCGATCCACGTGCAATTTACGATGAACAAAGCGGAATCGAGGCAAGTTCTCTCAGAGACCTTCCGTTTTCATTAATTCTCAGTCCAATGACAACCCTCCATATCGCATATCATGTTTAAATAATCACCTATCAATCAAATTATTCAAATATTCTGTAAGAATTAGGTTCGGGAAATATACCGAACTATTTATTGTACTTTTCATTCCTGAAGAAAAATGAAACATTTCATAAAATATTTACTGTAAGTATATTCTTATTAATTATTTTGTATATCAATGTGCAATACTTTTCATTATTCATGTTGTATTTATTACGTAGAGCTTACCTAGGGGTTGCGTAGGGATATTAGTACAAATTAAGTTTACTTAGCGAGATTCAGAATACAGCCACTGTTGCAACTAGGTCTTTTTGCCCTGGTCTTTTTTAATTTGCTTCATTCTTCTCGGAATGTGATATGTGTCAAATAGGATTTATTTAATCTACTTACGTAAAGCAACTGGTGGTTTTATTCAAAATATAATGTGAGTACAAATGAGTATTACGCAAAATACGACACAACTTGCATTTATAAATACACACGAATTGTATAATTTACCTAGAATCATGTAAATTTACAGAGATACATTACATTATACATATTTTACAACCCAACATAAAACACTACACAAACGTCGCAGTGCCAACACATATTACTGGGCATTTATGTCCGAGCGCATATTCGTACACATCCGCAGGACAGGGCTTGAACTCACACACTCATTCCAAACCTCGTCATATATCACCCAGAATCACGGTCCGTATAATATTTCGAGGACGCTTCCTACAACCTCCATCTCAGGCACAAACAACCTTTTGTTAAACCATTTAGGTGCGCGCGTGGTTACACTACCGCATGTGTACAATTAAATTCCGTTCTTACCAACAGTCCGTTTTATTGTTAGTTCAGTTTCTCCCACCGCTACGGACGTTTGAAGTCTCTGCGCAGAATGCACGCTTGTCTACGCTTTCCAGATCTGCATCACTCCTTCCGGTAAACCGTTCGGAGTAAGAATCAAAATAAGGGCGGGTTAAGGAAGAAGAACATCGTGCCGTCCGTGTATATAAACGTATTTATTGATTTTCAGATGTAAATTTATGTTCAGTATAAACACTTATCACCTTATTCATTGTTTGCTAATTAAATTATTTATTTCCTCCCCAATTTAGGCTCTATTCTAACCCGTACTGTTTTCCCACTCTCTAATTTCCGTTCCCCTAATAGTCCAAATCTTTGGTCCGCTTCCCTAATGGTACGAGTTCGTATATGATAATTCGTATTTGGTAATTCGTGCAGACCATGGCTCATATTCAAGGGCTCTGTTTCGGCATTCGCGTGGAAGAGTTCAGGGAAACCACCAAAACTATAAACGGGCTGTCAGTCTGCGAATTCAGATTCACTAAAAGCCAAAAACTCACTGATGTTAAACAAAACGAGGAAATTGCTGACCTCTCACCGAGATGCAACTCCTTCCCTCGCAGTCATTGGGTCGTTTGATTGTTAGTGATTCCTGGCGCGCCAACGGCTAAAGTTATTATTTCCGGAACTGTAGTGCATGTTCTGTCCTTGGGAGCTGACGATGATCTTCCCCCGTTGGATGGCGAAATTCGGCGCTGACCTATTGTTGGATACCGGGGTTTTCCCAAACCAAGTATCTCCTACCAGAGGGGGCACAGACCGGACCGGGACAAGCTTTAAACTATACCGACCGGCCTCCTGTTAAGTGTGGTTGTGTAGTGCATGTAAGTGTAAGGGTGAGGAAAGCACAAGAAGAATGAAAGATAGCACGCAATCTGTGGCCCGCTAGCTAGGGCATTGCTTCGGCATTCGCCAGGAAATGTTCGGAGAAACTATGGAACAGCTTCTCAGAGTAGCCGCTCGCTTGAATTCTGCTCCAGACAGGAATTGAATTCGAGCTAGTTTACAAGCAAGTGTCGAAATTTCTACCACCGTCAAGACTCAAACCCAAAACCTCAGTAGCTGCACTGAGCCACCTCTATCGGTTGGATCGTTCTCATCGTATGGCATTGCCTTTAAACACATTTTGCGTGTCGCTGCCAGTGTTGGAAAAGGCTAACATATAAACAGAATTTCAATACTCGGATACAGTAAAACCAGCAATAGTTATGGATGGTACGAATTGAAAAAGTGGCAATTTATATAACGAGAAGAAAATGTTGCAACACGAAGTCGTTGCGCTTTGTAGCGCAATCCAATGAACAAAATAAAATCACTTTTTTCGCGGGTGTCAATCACTAACATAGCCTTACTTTCATTTTATTTTATTTCATGAGTACATATCACTTAATTATTTACTACGTCACGTCCCGTTGAATAGCAACTGACGCGGTCAGCCAAACGTTCTTTGTTTTCTTTGTTGCATTCATTGATTTATTTGAACATTTGAGCATCTCATTTGTAGCGCTAGTGCTAAAAGTGAACTTTTAGCACCCTGTGCATACCCTAAAAGTATTTTTTTCTTGTTCATGTCTAAAAACGAATTTCAGACTTTGTTCTGCTTTGAAGAGTATTATGATATTGATTTCGTATGAGACGGATTACGAAAGACCAAACTACGAAAATTCTCTCCGTGAAATTAATTTATCTTCGGGCCAATGGCAGTGTAGCAGATATTGAATATTTCCAACGATGCGAGAATAAAGGAGATAACGTCTCTGTGACGGCTTTGAATGAGAGCACTGGATTGACCGTAATGTGATTTTAGTTCTGTGCCCAACGGCCGTAAAATTGTATTTTCAATTTCATAGATATTATTAAACGCTCTTGCAGAAATTGAATTTTTCAGGAACGAAGAACTATTTTCTACCATTTATTTTGTTTACCCTCGTGATGAATCAGATGTCCAGACTTTTCATTTGTCAAAGATATGAATGTTTTATTTCATTGAATGTAAATGAACTATATATATCCCCGATAGCTCCATGATTGGAACTATGTTTAAAATTCAGTACTTTTTCCCAGAGTTTATCATTGTGTTTTATTTCAAAAAGGTATCTTTTAGGGATGAAAATGCAGTTTATTTTCTACACTATCTCTGTTTTATAAAACTAGATTTATAGAGTCAATGCATTGAGATAACCACACGACGATTTAACAATGCAATTCTTTTGTTCCAAAACTGTGATATAGTGATGATCACAATTATTGATTAGAAACAGTATTGTAATATATTATTTTGGTTTTGTAAATTCTTGTCACACAACTAGAACAACTATTATAATTACGACCGCTTCAAAGGATCGCAGATTGCGATTATAATAACCTGAAAATATACTATGTAGTATGTTTTAGGCTATTTTTTACAAGCGACAATATTTCATAATTTTATACTGTTCGATTGCAGGACTTACAAATCAATACCTACTCGAAACTCAATTTTTTACCGCACAGAATACATTGTATGAAAGTCGTAGAATAACTAAGAATAGAAACTAAGTTGTATGGAAAGGAAAACACAATAAACAAGGAGAAACTAATCCACACACTAAACTAACTAAGGGATGCGCGAATATCGCATATTCCATAATAAAAATAACATAACCTTAAACGAAACATTATTCCAGATATTAGCTTGTATATTGACACCTACGCTTTACTTTAAACACATGCCATTTGCTGTGTTTTGTTGTATGGTTATTTCAACACCTTAAGTAAGAAGGAACCACAATTGAGATTTCATAAACATGTACACCAAAAAGACCACTGTTCCAAGGAATTAATCCAAATGTTTAGGATCAACAGCCCTAAATTTGAATGACGCTATAGAATATATATATATATATATATATATATATATATATATATATATATATATATATATATATAAAATTCACAACTCGCATAGGGAGAACCTAGCGATATATATAAGCTAGTGACGTGCATATTCTGAAGAGTGAACATCAATTGTTTAGCAATGTGATATAGTCTTTCCAGAACTGTGGGGTCAGTTTTAAAGGACAGTGACACTACAAAATGCCCACTGCGGAACCTGCAAGTTGTTGCTTGAAAATGAACTTCGTCAAGTGAGTGTTTCCTCCGGACTTAAAGGGAGAGCCTCCCTTCTATTATTGCATTCCCAAATGTTCTTCATGTTTGTCTTTCAATTGTTCATCATGAAAATATAAAAGAGTTCAAAAAAAGATCATTCTGATTAATATGAGTTACTAAGCTTGATTTAGATGTTTTGTTAGATTGTTCCGGTTTACTCTGCGTTCGATTTGCCTTCGGGATTGGATCATGAAGAAGAGAATGATGTGCACACCTCCTACAATGACGCTGATTGCACGTATGTTCAAGAATTGATGTGTTGAAACAATTCATGTTTAGTGAATTACTTTGACACACCTTTAACCGTTCCTTAACTGTCAATTGATGAAATTGCATGCATCTGTAGAGTGTGTATGTGTGTTCTTGCAGAAGATGTACTTCATAGAATGAGAATTGCGTTATTGATTGCTTCATTTATTAGTGATTCCATGCGTGCCGGCTGCTAAGGGCATTAGTCCCGTAAGTGTAGTGCATTTTTCTTGGAAAATGGCGGTGATCTTACCTCACTGCAGGTGAAATTCGGAACCGACCTACCGTCAGCGAGCAGGGTGTCCCCCAACCAGGTATCCTCCAGCACCCGGTATCCACCCCTGCTGGGTCAAGCTCTAATCCCCAGACTCCTCTGTCTCTCGTCATGTGTGGTAGTGCAGTGTATGTGCAAGTAGTGTGTGAGTGTATGTAATGACTGAAGCTAGAACAAGGAAGAGAAAGGAAACATTGCACGGGGTGCGTGTCTCGTTAGTTAGGGTACTCCTCCAGCATTTGCCTAGTGTTGACAGGAGAAACCACGGAAAACTACCATTCAGAGCAGCCATCCACCAGAATTCTCCAGTCAGTGGCTGAGATCGATGTGGCTATGTAGCTAAACCTGCCACAGACGGGAATCGAACGTAGAACCTCACGGTCAAACGCCCTGCAATGTCACCAGTTGATGCCCTGAACAACTTCTCCCGGTACAAGCCATCGCCATGTTTAACTCGTGCAACGGTTTATTTCTGTTTGCGTTCCACACGAGCCCTACCGCTGAGCGCTCCTCCGCTGATTCCTCCCCACCTCCCCCCTCCCCATTTCCCACTATCTACCCCACGCTAGCGCCATGAACCCAAACTGGGAAGAGCGCCGAGCAGGCCCAGAGTGTTGAACACAAACCAAGACGAGGCTGAGCGCTCGCGTGTATATGTGTGTGTGTGTGTGCGCGCAGGCCGGCGACGGGCACGCGTCGTCCGGCAGACAAGGGCCGCCAGACGGACCGCACGACGCGCATGCTGCTGGCCGTGCTGCTGCTCTTCCTCGCCACGGAGCTGCCGCAGGGGCTGCTGGGGCTGCTGTCGGGCCTGCACGGGCGCACCTTCTTCGAGCAGTGCTACTCGCGCCTGGGCGAGCTCATGGACTTCCTGGCGCTGCTCAACTCGGGCATCAACTTCATCCTATACTGCTCCATGAGCAGGCAGTTCCGCACCACCTTCTCCGCCATGTTCCGGCCGCGCTTCCTCGACCGCTGGCTGCCCGTGCCGCAGCGCTCGCAGTCCGACCACAACGGCCACACCAACCACGTGACGCAGGTGACGCAGGTGTAGCAGGCGCAGAGCGCCGCGCCCCGCCCCCCCGCGGCGACGCCCGCCTCGCCCACGCCCTCGCCCTCGCCGCCTGCTCGGTGGGTGAGTCCGGCGGCCGCCACCCGCCCCGCGGAGCACGCCTTCCTTCCTCCCGCCCGACCAAGGAGACAACTCGCCCCCCAGTGCGCCGTGCTAGGCACTGCCCCGATTTAGACTGCTCGCCCCTTGCACAGTGATAAGCGCGGATCCGATTTAGACTGATGCAAGTAGACAACTCACCGCATGCACATTGATTCACACGGCTCACGTTTTCGCCCGCTCAAGGAGACAACTCGCCCCGTGCGCCGTGCTAGACACTGCCCCGATTTAGACTGCTCGCCCCTTGCATAGTGCTAATTGCGGCTCCGATGTAGACTGATGCAAGTAGACAACTCGCCCCCTGCACATTTATAGTCACGGCTCCCATTTACGCCCGCTCAAGAAGGCAATTCGCCGTCCGAGGACACTACTCGCCCCATGCACAGCGCTAAGCGTGGCTCCGATTTAGACTGATGCAAGTAGACATCTCACCCCACGCACACTGATAGACAAGGCTCCCGTTTACACCCGACCCCGAGACAACTCGCCCCGTGCGCCGTGCTAGGCACTGCACCGATTGAGACTGCTCGCCCCTTGCACAGTGATAAGCGCGGCTCCGATTTAAACTGATGCAAGTAGACAACTCACCGCATGCACATTTATAGTCACGGCACCCATTTACGCTCGCTCAAGGAGACAATTCGCCTTATGCACGGTGTTATATGCTGCTCCGATTTAGACTGGCGCAAGTAGACAAATCGCCCCATGAACAGGGCTAGACACAGTTTCGATTTGCGCACGCCCAAATAGACAAATTACTGCTTGTCCAGCGCTAGTCATTGCTCCGATTTACGCCCACCCTGTAAGGCCATTCGTCGCGTGCACAATGTTAGACAGGGCTTTGATGTACGCCCGCCGATGGAGCCAACTCACTTCACGCAAGTTGCTAGACATGACTCCGATTGACATCCGCCTATGTAGACAACTTACCTCGTGCACAAAGCTACATACATTTCCGATTTACATCCGCCCGGCCAAGTAGACAACTCGCTCCAAAAACTTTGTTATACACTGCCCCGATTGAAACTGATACAAGTAAATAACTTGCTCCATGCTCATTGGCACAGTGCTACGTACGGCTCCGATTTACGCCCGCTCAAGGAGACAACTCGCCCCATTCACACTGTTGAGCGTGGCTCCGATTTACGCCCAGTCAAGTGAATATTTTGCTCCATTCGCAGTGATAGACACGACTCCGATTTACGCATGCCCAAGGCGGCAACTCGCCACATGCACAGGGTTAGACAAGGCTCCGATTTAGACTGATACAAATAGACAACTCGACAACTCGCCTCATGCACAGTACTAAGTACGGCTCCAATTTACCCCAGCCCAACTAGACAACTCGTCTCATGTCCAACTCTAGACGCGGCTCCGATTTACACTGATAGAAGATTTAGAAAACAAGTATCGCGATCATAGTGTGGTCTGGTAGGAAAAAACAATTTGTCCAAAATCATGGGACTGGAGACCTGTAGATGAGAACTAAGTAAATAATATTGATTGATACCTTACTTAGTGATTTAGGTACGTTAACTGCTAAGGTGATTATTCCTGTAAGTGTATTCCATATATTTATCGCGGGAGGTAGCAGTGATATTCCCCCCGCTGAATGACGAGATTCCCCGCAGACATACCCGTCCGCTTGCGGATTTTACACAATCATGTACCTCTCACCAGCTGCAACAAGCTCTGAGTTCCCGACTGGCCTCCCAACAAGAGTGATAGTATACTTCGTGTAAGTGTAAGAAAGGAGTGAGGTTAGGATAAAGAAGAAAAAGGAAAGATCGCGCGCGACCCGTGAACCGTTTGTTAGAGTACTGATCCGGCATTCACCTGGTGTTGATTGAGGAACGACGGAAAACTACCGATTGAAGCAGACAGCCACTACAGTTCTCCTCTGGACAGCGGCTGAACTCGACCTAACTATATAGTTGGTGTCAAATATCTTCCCACTGTAGAGGCACGAACCCTCGTAGTTCAGAGGCTAACTAAATAATACATGCTTAACAATGACGCCTTCAGTAATATATCTCCACATCATCCTGCCTGCAAAAACGCAATTATCGTCTGCAGGTGTGTTGTTTCATGTTTTTGAACTTTATAGTCTACCTTGTAAGCCTACCTTTTCCTTGTAAACCAGACAGTATATTCCACGGATATTTCGAATTCTTAAATATGTTCTGTATTTTAAATATTATAATATTTATTAATGATTACTTTGAATCGTTTATATCTTGACGAGTCTATGAAATATGGCAATTTACTTGGCCTGCCTCCTGTTCGCCCCTGGAGACAACTCACCCCATACCCAGTGTTAGACACAGCATCTATTTAGACTTAAATGCCTGTCGCAACAACTCGTAACTTACTTAACGAGATATGTGATATCGCAATCATATAACGTACGGATATTTGTTTTTTAGTAATAAATTATTTTTACCTTAAAGTATCTTTGTGGAGAGAGCCACCTGTGGCTCACTCACTGAGGCACACAGGGAATAGTGCTAACTATGATGGAAATATATGGGGGTTTTCGCCAGTTTTTGTCACGAAACTCGTGACCACAACTTAGGCACTTTGTTTGAAAAGCTAGACCAGATGCTGAGCGCCATATTGCGTGGAGACCAAGAAGTTTTGAGAGACGTTTTGAAAGTGGCATGAAGTGACAATTTTCAACCAAAAATTACACGATGAAGGTTTACTTGAAATAAAATATGCGATATTTAAAAACAAATTTAGATATGTTTCAATGGCTTGTTACAAGATCATAGCTTTGGAATCTGATTGCATTCAAAATTCCCGCTAGTATTGTGGCGCAAACTATCTCCTGAACTCATTGGCTGAAACCGGATACGACGCGAAATAGCTCGTCCATGTGTTTCCACCACGGCACTAACCATCTGCAAGAATTACATGCCACCAACACTATGCTCCTGCGGCGCTACCCACAAACGCTACGAAACATGGGATAAATATAGAAAGTTCATTTCTGGTATGAGGCTTCAACTCAAAATAATAAAAACACCTCAAAAGAACCAGGATTAGAACCCACAGATCATCTACCTGAGATTACGAACAAACGGTACCTTCATCAATCTAAGCCGTAATTGTTCTCTGCGCCTATGTTAAAATCTGACGGTTTTCTCTCCTTGTCTTTGAGATCTTCCGTACTGTATATGAAGACCTTTCTCGATCTATTGGGAACAATGCCATGCACCGGTAATTTCTACGGAGGGTGTGGTGTGGAATACGTCGAAATAACTACTCGATCTCCCGGAGTCTAAAAATACGACCTCTCACCTGACGCTCTGCGCACACGAAATTACATATCAACTATTTTCCAAACTTTATTGAACATTTTAATGATGCTATCTACTCTAAAATAATCGTTGCAAAATTCACCAAGTACAACAGAAAGACCGGAGATAAGCCTTTCTCTCAGCCGCGGTGGGAACAGTTTTTTTATTGCAATATTACATAAAAACATTAAAGTATTGTGAATTAAAAGAATCATAGAGCCCTCACTTTCAATCGTAAAAGTATTATAATAGACAGAGCCACCATTATTTTATTCAGTTCATGCCCCCATTATTTTACCAAGTACGATTTCTGTTACTACAGATTATAGCATTATGTTCTAAGCTGTCAGGCACATAATGTTCTGAGCTGTCAAAGTGACAGAGCTTTCTAGACATTGTTGGAATATATTATGAAAATTCTTCTGACATATCGTTATAGAAGTCCGTGCACGAAAAGGAAACACTCCTGCCTCCTTGGTGACATTTCCAAACAAGGCACCTTCCAGAGAGGCAAGATGTCAAATGTGACGTCTTAATCCATCATACACGTTCAATCAGAACGAACGTCGACAGATGCGGCTACAAAATAGTACTTTTTGAGAAAAACGAGGTGAACGTAAAATGTATATTTCAAACCCAGAGATCGAGATGTGGCATCGTCTCAATGAAAGAATGTAAATTAGTACACTATTGCAGATTATCGGTTAGGTATTTAATTTCCGGATTCGGAATGGAAAATTAAAAAATTACCTATAAATATAAAGCTAGTAAATCTACTATAATGTACTCTAGGGACATTACTTAGAAATAGCACTGAAAGCAAAAAGTGATTTAAGAAAATTAGTTACATAAAATAAAGACATTTGTTGTAAAGAAAACTAATTACACAGTACCAAATAATATAATAACACATTAATAATCCATCTTAGAACACAAAACGAAGAAAACTAATGAAAATATATAAAGTACCAGTCAAAAATTAAAATTTCATAATTATTTTCTAAACGGTCAAATAGATCTAATTTTTGACACATTTACAAAGTTCCAGCTCAAAACCTAATTTTGGAGAGTTATGCTTCCTACATCCATCCATCCATACATACATACAAATCTATTTTCAGGGACCAAGTTGCGTAATTGTATCTTCTCTCCGCGGGTACCAGTCTCAACCATCTTTGGGAGAACACTAATAGATTGTAATTCTGTCGTGCGTGCGTTACAGCTGCAAAGTTCCTTAAACGGAGTTTAAGACAGATATTTGAGATCATATTGTTGAGGTAATACAAATACTTTCCCTCCCTATACTATAGTATCGGGAGAAAAAGTAAAAATACACTGACATTCTCCAACTTTATAAAGTAAACGAAAACTGGGAAATCTAAGACTCCTATATGCAAATTCATTCCTATTACCCCATTAATGAAGTTTTCCGATGTCTTTTATAGCGGGTTCTTTTGTTACATAATAACTGTTGTGAATAGGAGATTAGAACTAGCTAATTCCTGCTGAATTGGGTACGTTGTGCAAGCTGCCATGTTGTTTGACGCTGGATCTGGCACACGTCAA